AGGGCAAGCAGTCTCTTGGGAGGGGGCAGGAACGTGGTGCAGATGGGGGTGTCTAAGGGAATTGCAGCTGGGATTCCCCAAGGGGTTGGGACTTAGACCCAGGGATCTGCAGTCCTAGGAAACGGTGGAACTGGACTGAGGGCTTGGCTGAAGCTAGGAAGGGCGGGGGTTGGGTAGTAACAGTGAGGTGGTGAGGAGCCAGTATGGTCTGGGCCTGTCTGCAGACATCGGGATGCTTGAGGACACCCACACACTGGAAGGGAATGTCAGCCTACCCAAGAGCATGTAGGGCTAAAAGGAGCAGCTAGGGGAGTTTCTGTGAACCATGAGGTATCAGAAATGCCATCACTGAGAGAAAGGTCAGGGAAGCCACTGTCACGAGCAACCCCCACAGAAGGGAGTCAGTATATCTGGGGGGTCCTTGAGCAATGAGTCATGGGTTGAGGCCCCAAGAAGAATCTGATGGTGTCCTTCAAGGCAGATCAACACTATTGGAGTGGCAGAGAAGTCTTGTGTTGGGGAGCCTTGTGCAGCGGGCAAAGAGAGGATGTCTAAGAGGATGTCAGGAACAAGCATGAGTAAATGGTGTTGGGGTATCCAAGGATATGGGTGTCTGTTGGGAGTATTGGGGAGTCTTACACAGGTTATATGGACCTTGGGCCATTGGAGCACTCTGAACATGTGGGGCCAGGGGGTCTGTGGGGCATCGGGGCATTCATTTAGCAGGTGAGGCTACTGGGGTGTCTATAGATATCATTTCTAGGGCACCCTGCAAATGGATGGGTCTGGAGTCTGGGAGGATATGGGTGTACTCCTTGAGGGGACTGGGGAAGGTGTCTGGGAGAGTATCAGGGGTACCCTGGAAGCAGGAGGGACTGGGGCTTCTTGGAGGATGTGGGATGTCAGAATGCCCACGAGTGGCTGGGGCAGTGTCTCAGGGCCCACCTGCTCTGCGGGGTCATCGTCCTTTGGCTGCCGCGGCTCGTAGAGGTCCAGCATGGTGTGGGAGCCCAGGCTGATGGTGCTGACGGTCGGGTAGTAGAGTGGCCCGTCCTCGTGGGGCTGGGGAGTGGGCACCAGGGCTGGACAGGGCAGGAGTCCACACACCCCCCCACCCTCTGGGGCTCAAGGAGGGCACCCCAGCTTGGGATGAGGTGGTGAATGCCTGGTTGGGGTATGTGGCTGCTTAATGAGTAGAGGTGGGTCAACATAAGGCCCTGCCTCATGGTGGATCGGAAGTCTGGGGGTCGGGGTGAAGGTGTGTGGTTACCATGATGCCCTCCCCAGGCAGATACTGGTTCACAAGGACGTGGTTGGCTGGGAGACCTCCAAAAAGGCTGAGGTCAGATACTTTGTCCACGTAGCGCTGGAGCCACAGAGGCAGCCGCTCAGGAACCATCCCCCGGGGATGGGGGAGCCCACCTGGGAGAGGGGAATGGGGTCCTGAGGACACCCAACCAAGGAGCCCTGGCACCTGGAACCCCCATTAGGGATATTCTAGTGGTTGGCAGTACTCTGACCCTTGGGAACCTGTGACTCTGGAGATCACTACCCCACGCCTCCAAGGCTTCCTGACTTCTCCAAACCCCTGGACACTTTGAGATATCCCAACTTATCAGGAAATCCCTAACCTCTCAGAACCTCCACTCACCCCTCAGAATCCTCCTGGCCCTGGGAACCCCTTGAGCCCTCATGGACCCACCCAGTGTCTTGACTATCCAATCTGAGTCACCTGCCCCAGCCTATATCCCCAAATCACCCATGCCCCCAAGGCAGGGACACTTACCCCAATTCTGTAACTTCCTCCCAGAGAGCTGGGTCCACTTTGGCTTTGGGGCATTGAAGACCTAGGAGGTGGGGAGGGGATCAGTCCTTTTTCAGGACCACCCTCACTGATCCTACCACCCAGTTCAACACAGGGCCCTCTACTTGGGGTGGAAATGGGTCATCTCAGAATCTCTGGGATTATCCTCTGAGATAGAATGTTCCCAGGATTGTGTTGTTTGACCTCTACCCTGTGTCTACCAGGGTCAAGGAAAGGAACCAGAGCTACACAATCGTGGTCTGAAACTACTCAGAGCTCTGGGCTGGACTGGACTTTTTTAACCCAGTAAAGTGTGCACTCTGTAATTTCCTGAATCCTGGGCTATCTCAGCACAGCCCGACTTCTGGAACCTCTTTGCTCCTATCACCTGAGGGAGAAAATGTGCTAAGCTGGGCTGTCTCAGCCCAGAGAGTACTTTGAAAATGCTCCACTGCCAGGTGCCTGGGTAGCTCAGTTGGTTAAGTGTCTTGGCTCTTGATCTCGGCTCACATCATGATCTCACAGCTCTTGGGATTGAGCCTCGCTTCAGGCTCAGTGCTGAAGAGCGGAGCCTGTTTGGGATTCTCTCACTCCTTATCTCTCTGCCCCTCCCCCACTCACACCTCTCTCTCTCTCTCTCTCTCTCTCTCTCTCTCTATCTCAAAATAAGAAAGAAGGGCGCCTGAGTGGCTCAGTCGGTTAAATGTCTGACTTCGGTTCAGGTCATGATCTAGCGGTTTTTGAGTTAGAGCCCCGCCTTGGGCTCTGTGCTGACAGCTCAGAACCTGGAGCCTGCTTTGGATTCTGTGTCTCCCTCTCTCTCTGCCCCTCCCCTGCTCACAATCCATCTCTCTGTCTCTCAGAAATGAATAAATGTTTTAAAAAAGGAAGGATGGAAGGGAAAGAAAGAAAGAAAACTCTCCACAGCCAAGATCCCAAAGGTCTAGAACAGGCAATCTCCAAGAAATATGTACTCTATTCGATAATCTCATTCCTTTCACAGTTATGGGGCTGGAAGGGGCTATCTCAGCACAAGAGTCTGTGTTCTGTAGCTCACTTATTCCTGGGACTCAAACTAGACAACACTAGTTGAGATAGCACAGGGAAGATCTGTGCTCTACGACTAACGGTCTGAGACTCCAAAGGATCTGAGCTTTTTAAATTCTTCTCTCCCTAAACCTTAAGGATAGAATACAGAATACTGGGCTATCTCAGCACAGGTGATTTGAGCTTAGTAACCTTATTCCCAAGACTCAGGGTGTATGCTGAGCCATCTCAGCAGAGGGAAGAGTTTTTACTCTGTAGCATTCTGATGCCTGAGTTATGTCAGCACAGAAATCTGAAACTGCAAATTCCTAATTCCCCAAACCTCAAGGGCCTGAACCGGGCTATCTCAGCCTATGTTTATAACCTCCTTTTCTCTATGATAGCAGGATTGGGCTATCTCAGCACAGAGGGTATAAGACTTGTAACCGTGTTTCTAGCATAACGAATCTGATCTCAGTAACATCTGTTTTGAAGGCTGCACTGGGCTATCCCAGCACCGGGAGTCTGAGCTGCATAAGAACTACCTTCCTCAGAATCAGTTTGGTTTCTTCTAAGCTTCCTGGGAAAAGCTCTGACACACCCCAGCAGGTCCTGAGAGAGGAAAAGGGAAGATGAGGGATGGGTGCTGGATGTCACTCTCCTTCCTGCCAGGATCTTTACTGTAGCCTTAGGGACTCTCACACAGAACCTGGAGATTGGGGAGGGATCTGGGAAGGAGGGAAAAACAAACCGCAAGGGTGTTGGGGTTACCTGTCGAAGCAAATACTCCTCCTCTTCCTTGGAGATGAAGTCAGGGACATAGTAGATTACAGGTGGTGCCTAGGATAGAGATCCCCATGAAGGTGTGGCCCTTCAACCTACACCGGGGCTCTAGTATCACTGAGCAGACCCTCCCTCTGAAGGGTCTCCAGATGTTCCCAAACAGGCTAGGGCCTGAAGTCAAAGGACTAATGCCCATTTTGGGGGTGGGAAGTGGGGGTGAGGGTGGGGCTGTACCCTGAGGGTAAGAATGAATTTGGAGGAAAGGAGCAGTCCAAGCCCACAAACTCAGGAGTCGGCCTGCCTATCCCCACTCTATCCCCCACCCTCTAGTCCCCACCTTCACCCTCTGCACCCCCAGTCTGACAACCTGTTCCACCCTGAATGGTTCCAGGGCTGGGACCCTGGCATCCTGATCCTCCATGGACACCAACTCCATGCACCCAGTCCTGTGGGGGAGGGGAGGATACTCTGAAGTCACCAAGCCTCCCACCCTCAGGCTATGATCCCATTTTCTGCTTTATCAAGGGCCAGGGCCTCACCTTGGCCCTACAGTGAAACTCACTTGGTTTCTAAAACCTGAGTCCTCAGCATCTCAAAAGCCACCCGGACACAGTGAGTACCCAGAACACTGCCCCAAACTTCATCCACAATGGCCCACGAAACTACACATTTCTGCCCCTTAAGCCTCTCACAGAGAATATCCTCTGACCTCACTGGGAGCCTTTCCCAAGAGCTCCACGCATAGCCTCCAGGGCTGCACCCCAAAGCCCCTTCAAACAGTTTGAGATGCCATCCTAACAACTTCAAACCTGCGACCATGAGTCTGGGTCTCTAACAACATTCAAACTCCCCATGCACCCTCCTGCCGCCTCGAGCCCTTTCAGATGCCCCATTCTGAACACCCGCGTGCCCCCAATCTGAGTCTCCTCAGACAGGTCCACTCTCAGTCTCCTCGGATCCCCCCACTCCGGACCCCTTCACACTTCCCCTCCCGAGCGCCCCTTCCCTGTAGCAACCTTGGGCCTTTAGTCCGGAGCTTGACTCCTCTCAAACCTTCTTCCCTACCTGAACCCCTTAGACTCTCCACCCCGAGTTTTCTAGAATTCCACACTCTGAGTTTCCCTGGACTCCCATCTGAGCTTCCCTAGATCCCCATTCTCAGCCCTCTTGGACACCCATCTCCGCCCCCCAGCCACCCCCAAATCTGACCGTCCACCAGAGTACCCCTCCAATACCCGAATTAAACTACCCCATTCCCTTCCCAGTCACTTCCGCTCCACGTTCCTGACGCACGTTTTCTCAAACCAACGGGAACTCTCAAAGGTCCTAAGGGTCCGCCTTCCACCCAATCGGCGCTCTCATCCACTATTGCCCCGCCCCTTCACTCTCGTCTATGATAGGCTGCACCTCCTGGCCTCTGAGCCACTGGGGATCCTTCGGAGACGGGCCTTCATCTGGTACTGACCAATCAGAACTCCAGAACCCAACCCGCCCACACAGTGGAGTGGGCCCAGATGGGAGGGGTACCCTTGGAACGGGGCGAGATGGGAGGGGAACCCGCTGGAAGACTAGACTATCACAACGACTTCCCGCAGGCTGAATCATTCCATACCCCAGCTGCAGGGAGAATGGATTGAAGGAACGACTTCCTCCCTCGTACTTCCCCAGCAATACGGAGGGAGGCCCACAACTTTCCAAATAGTGACCGTACACAGAGAAACCATAGAAACATCTTTATTGAAGGGGACAGGGGTCATGCTGAATTCAGGGACATGCAGTGAAGGGGCAGTCGTGAGCTGTCCTTGGTGGTCAGGGCCCCGGGTCCACCCTGGACCCCCTGGGCCTTCAGGTTCTCCCTCAGGCCGTTGGTCTGGCTCGAGTGCTGTGAGGTCCTTTGGGGCCAGTGACTCAGATTTGGTGTTTTGGACCTGTGACCAGAACATAGATTGAAATAGGGGTTCCAGGATTTGGGATCCCCTCAAGGCCTTGGGGCCCTTCATGTATTAGAGATGGAGGCTTTAGGATGTGGGGTTCCCTTGGGGCTGGGGCTCTTTGCATTTGGGTGTCTTGAGATCCAACGACTCAGGGCATTGAAGTGCTCCAGTTTCCAGGGATGAGAATTCCTGTTTGGGGTCTCCTGGTGCCTATGAAGTGGGCTTGAGGTGCCCTGGGAGCCCGGGATGCATATCCTCACTGCAGTCTCCTCCATCCCAGGCACAAGGACCTCCGTGATTGGGGTTTCCTGGGGGCTTGGGATTGAATTTTTTAATTTGGGATTCCCTGGGGATTTGGGGATTCCATGATTTGAGGATCCTGGTAGTTAGGGCCTTGGGATCCTCTAGGGGCTGTAGGACTTGGGGACACAGGGGAGTATGGGACTTGTACTCTGGGGTTTGGGATCCCGAGAGTCACAGAATGGGGCCTCTAAATTTTGGGGTCCCCCAAAGGGGGAAGTCGTCTTAAAAAATAGAGAATTTTCTGGGAGCCTGACCAGCACAGGGGCTGTGGGCCATGTGGGGTGGGCTTCATACAAGGCACTGGGGGTTTCTTGAGGGCGCAGAGGGTAGGAAGACTTAGGGGTCCTGTAATTAGCACTTCCAGGACTGTTTTGGTGTCTGTAAATTGGGGGTGACAGTGGACTGGTTAATGTGTGTCTCTTCTGTAAGAACAGGGGTCTTTGTTAATGTAGGGAGTCTCTGATTGCAGTGTAAGCTTTTGGGGTGACCATGGGGGGTCACAACATCTTGAGGGGACTGATGTTAAATGTAGGTCTGTTACTCTGTTGCTCTGGAGGCATGACCTATGTTTATTTCAAGGGGACTTGACAGAGGAGGAGTCTTTGTTAATGGGGGAGGGTTCTGATCCAGTAATGAATGATTCAGTAATGTTCTGCTCTGGAGCATTATGTAGAGGTCACCATCATTTGAGGTGATGTGGAAATATGTTATTGGGGGTCTGCTCTGAGGGGTTGGGGATAGGGACTAGCCTGAAGGTGCTACACTCAAGGAATCTCTTTCTGGGTACCTTGGGGTCTGTACTTGGGGGTTATCATGAGGGAATCTGTTAATAATGGGGCCTCAGTGATCCAGGGCTGGCTAATGGGGTCTCTATTCTGGATGTGTTACTGGGAATCTCTATCTCAGGGTGATTCAGGGGCTCCTTGTGTCAGGAGATGCTAGAGGGGACTCTGTGACTCTGTCAGGTATCCAGGCCTCTAAGACTGCATCTCTGCCCTCAGCATCCAGGGAAACCAGCAGCAGAAGAGCAACCTGGAAAGGAGAATCATATCCATCACGCCTTGATGCAGGGAACATCTGGATTTGGCCTTTCTGGATTCTGTCTCTACTTGTCTGGCTATGCCCTCTCAGACTCCTGTGCTGTGGAAGGTGTTCTGCCTCCTCTACCTGCCCCATAAGGGTGAAAGTCCCCAGAATTCAATGTGGGAGCTCACTCCCTAAAAACTGTTTCTGGGTAGGCTGATTAGCCACTAGTTTTCCTAACCTCTATTTCCAGCCCCAACCAGAAGTCCAGATCCCTGTGTCCACCAGCCTTGTGCAACCTCTCCCTGAACATCCTACAGGAGGTGGGCCAAGGGTTGGCTACACACCTGGAGATGGAGTTCTCTGATGCGATGTCCTTTGGGGTCCGGACTGTCGTGAAAGTGCGTTTGGGCTGTGTCACTGAAGGAGAGGGCAAGGTCTCAGGTGACAGGATGACAGACCCTCAATACCCAACCAGACTCCTTGTCATTAATACTTGTCCATGTCCCCAGTACCCACCTCGACCCCACATTCCAATACCCATCTGGACCTCTTATCAATAATATTCTGTGTCCCTCAATACCTACTCATGTCCCCAGTGCCTGCCCAGAGCCTTGTTGTTAACATCCCCATACCCCATAGCACCTATCCTCTTTGGGATCCTGTCTCATCATTTTCCTGGACCCCATGTCTCCTGTGAAATACTGGAGATTTTGCCACCAGCATATACCTGAAAACCCATGACCCTCCTATCCCCAAACCTTCACTCCTCCTCTACCTCTTACACTCCAGCCCCAACTCACTTGTCACTTGATGCACTTTTTTGGCTCCCACATTGTCCCCAGGGGGGTCAGTGGATCCACCAATCCTGGGGAGACATAAGAGGAGTAGGAGAAGTCAGAGTCACAAGAGGAGCTGAACCCATGGGGCCTATGCAGAAAGAGCTACGGTGTGGAGGTAGGTATCCACACTGTCCTGCTGGTACAAGAGGAAGAGACATCTAACAGGGGAATCAGGGTTCTGGGAAGTGCCCTGGGTTTGGGTTAGAGTTTGGGCTCACCTCTGAATTCGGGATGCTGGTGCAAAGACTCCATGCCGCGGGGGACAGGTAAAGTACCGGACACCGAAGACAGAGCCATCATGCTTTCCAGTGGGCTGGTCTAGCTCAATGCCATACCAGTAACCTGCAGCAGTAAGGTGTCAGGATGCCTCAAGGCCCTGCCTGCCTGCCCCCACCCTACCCCCCAGATCACTGTCCTCACCTGGAGCAAAGTCTGTCTTCCCATAGAAGCGCACAATCCCTTGCTTCTGGCCAGCAACGAGGACTTGGTCTCCAACCTCAGCCTTGGCTCCCTCTCGCTGCTGCAGGCTCCCCAGAGATGGGGATGATGGGGGCTTCTTCTTGCCTGGGGTAAAGGGTACATGGGGAGGGAGTGGGGCCCCCAGATGCCAGCCCTGGGGACCCCATGCCACCCAAAAAGACCCAAGGTAGAAACTCTATCCTGGCTCCTGTCAGGAACTCTAGAGCCTTCCCAAGAACCGGGGGGCTTTAGGCTTGAAACAATCTCAACTGTAAGAAAACTGGGGGTGGGGGTTAGGCATGAGGGTCAAGAACCTGGAGAACCCCCAAATCCTTTCTCAAAGCTGAAGTTATTTGGGTCAAAAGAAAAACTGAGTCACAAAAGTAAGGAGCCCAGAAATTATCCTTTTAGGGTGAAGGAAGTGGGTGCACCTTGGTGGTTCAGTCGGTTAAGCGTCTGACTCTTGATTTTGGCTCAGGTCATGATCACAGCGTCATGAGATCAAGCTCTGCATCGGGCTCTTCATGGAGCCTGCTTAGGATTCTTTCTCCCCCCTTCTCTCTGCCCCTCACCTGCATGTACATGTACACGGTCTCTCTCTCTCTCTCTCAAAATAAATAAACATTTAAAAATAAATAAATAAAATGAAGGAAAGGGTTGGGTGTGAAGATAAATCAAGTCACTAAATCCAGGAACCCCACAGATTCTTCCCTACAACTGGGAAAAAACCCTTGGGCCTGAGGGGAAACTAAGTCATAGAAAGCAGAGAACCCCCAGATCTTTTCAGGAACTGGGGGTGGGTGGGCAGTGCCAAGTCAAAGGAGAAACAGAGTCATAGAAGTGAAGAACTCAAGAGATTGTCTTCTAAAACAGGAGTTTGGGCCTGAGGATAAACTGAGTCACTGAAGCTGGGCTACCCACAGAATATCCTCAAATTGGCTCTCCTCCTACCCAGAAGGCTCCCCTCTGACCTTTATGTTCCCTGCGGCCTTTCCCAGTGACACGGGAAAAGTCCATCCGAGGAGTCCGAGGTGTGGAGGTGACTGATGAGGGGGGTGCATCCACTACTTTGGAGATCTTGGACACAGAGGCAAAGAGACCTGCGGGGACAGAACGTGGGCTGGGAGCTGTCCAAGCCTCTGCCCTCTGCCCAGTCATCATCTCCCTACCCCCATTACCCAGTCAGCAGCACCAGAACTACTGAGTGGACCCCACCACCACCCCATTTGAGCCCCAGGTGGGACTGACCCTGCTTGGGAGGGCAGATGAAGTACCGGACACCCCCAACACTGCCATCATTCTTGCCCTCGGGTTCATCCAGCTCCACGCCCACCCACTGGCCACTGGCGAACTCCGTGGTCCCGCAGAACCGAAGTGTGCCCGTCTGAGGAAACAAGGGAGGATATGGTTTGGCGGGGGTGGTCCTTGGGGGGCTATGACAGATCCCTGGCACATCCCTGGTGAGTGGATGAGGGAGCCCTAAGCTCAAATCTGTTTGGACATTACCATTTATTGGCTATATGACTTAACGTCACTGTGCCTCAGTGTCCTCATCTATGAAATGGGAACAGAAATCACACCTACCTTATAGAATGGTTATAGAGCTTCCCTGCCCAATGCAATAAACAGCCATTAGCCAAATACAACAATTTAAATTAACTGAAATTAAAATTAAATTTTGGGGCGCCTGGGTGGCACAGTCGGTTAAGCGTCCGACTTCAGCCAGGTCACGATCTTGCGGTCCGTGAGTTCGAGCCCCGCGTCGGGCTCTGGGCTGATGGCTCAGAGCCTGGAGCCTGTTTCCGATTCTGTGTCTCCCTCTCTCTCTGCCCCTCCCCCATTCATGCTCTGTCTCTCTCTGTCCCAAAAATAAATAAACGTTGAAAAAAAAAAAAATTTAAATTTAGTTTTCCTGGTTGCACTGGCCACATTTCAAGGGCTAGTAGCCACATGTGGCTTATGGCTACTTTATTAGACAATACAGACACAATATTTCCATCATCACAGAAAGGTCTACTGGACAGGGCTGTTATAGCCTCAGAACAGGGCCTGGTGCTGAGTGAGGGATCAGCGAGTGTTAACTATTACTGTCTTGTAACTTTGGTCAAATGACCTCCTAGGCCTTAGTTTCGTCTGCAAAATGGAGAGAATAATGCACCTTAGAGCCTGGCTGTCTGGTTGAAACATCTGTAATGTATGTAAATTTGTTTAGTTGTGGTGAGCCCTCGTGGCTATTATCATCGTGTGAGGTTGCTTCACTCTCAAAGTTCTGGTTCCTTGCCTATAAAATGAGTGAATAGTGCCTACTTTGGAGGATTGGTGCGGGGATCAGAATAGTGCCTGGCACACAGATAGCACTTGGAATGCACCAAGCTTCTTCTAAGGGCTTTACAGATTTTAATTAGTTTAATCCTCATACAACCCGAGGTGGGTACTGTTACTAGCTCCATTTTACACATGAAGAAACTGATACCCAGAGAGGTGGGATCAGTGGCCGCAGGTCCCCCAGCTGGAAAGCAGGAAAGCTGAGGTTTGCCTGAGCTTCTAACCACTGTACTATACTGCTTCTCTCAGAGGCAGATTGTCATTATTGTTCTTATCTTCAAACCAAAGGTTTCACCTCTCTGAGCCTCCTACAGTCTTCTGGGTTCTATAATGGGAAGAGTCAACCCATTCTGCTTTCAGAATTGTCACATGGATTTGACAAGATCATGCACAGAAAGCTTTACAGGCAGGGCTGATGCATGCAAAACTCTTGATTAGGAAACGCAATGTGACTTTTACAGTTTCTCGCTGTGTAAGAAACTAGATTCAAATTCCTTCCGGTGGCCTACATGTCTGGTATGATCCAGCCCCCTACTGACCTCTCCCCTTCGTCCTCTGGTTACACTACCCCTTCCCTCCTCTTGGCCTCTGAACCTGCTGTCTCCTCTGTCTCCATATTGTTGTGTGTGAGCTCCCTCCTCTCTCAGCTCAGATATCAGCTCCTCAGAGAAGCCTTTGGAACACCCCAGCAGCTAAAACTGCATTTGCCTTCAGCCAGGGGAAATTTGCTAAATCCAAACTTATTTAAGTTAAAAAAAATTTTTTTTAAGTAATCACAGAGTCCAATGTGGCGCTCAAACTCATGACCCCAAGATCAAGAGTCATATGCTCTACTGACTGAGCCAGCCAGGCTCCCCTAAATCCAAGCATTTAATGGTTTTCAAAGCCTCTGTTGCTACCAGAAATTATCTTAACTGTGGATTTACTTTATTGGCTGTCTCTCATTAGAAAAGCTCCATAAGAGTGGGTCTGGGCTCACACACAGCCCTTTATTCCCAAGGAGAGGCTGGGTCCGCATAGAGACTGAGGGACACTAGATAAATAAATAAGTCAAAGTTGGAATACCTGGATAAATGAAGATTCTGCCCTTTGGGCCTTTATACCTGCTCCCTCTATGCAGGATCCCTTCTCCTTTTCTTCTCCTGAGGCTCATTCCTCCTTATCTTGAAGTGGGTGCCTCCATCCCACAATACCCCTGATTGTTCTGACCTGTCCTTTTTTCCCAAAGTGCTGATGCCTCTGGGAGCAGAGGTGGGCCTTGACTGGGGATCACAAGGCCCAGGGTAACTCACAGGTGCAGAGCTGCACTGATCACTCTGTTTGTGCTACCTCATGACCGCCACGACTATTCTGGGCTGTCACTGTCAACTGATAGACCTGTCTTCCCTCCCTGGACTGAGAGCTCAGCCTTGGGGCAAAAGGAAGCACTCACAGAATGACTGTTAGATGAAATAAATACTGTAGGAATGATGGGGGTGGAGGCGGTGGAGGGGTGGATAAAGGGGAGGGTCTACACTCTGTCCAAAGACCCAACTCTGAGGCACGAGGGCTGACTCCTGCTCTCCACACCTTTCCCCAGGCCCTGACCTTCTGGCCATCCAGCAGCACGCGGTCTCCCAGACGCAGGCCCAATGCACTGAGCATGAGATTGCCTGGGACGTTGTCATAGTTGGGTAGTGTGACCTTGGGGAGGGCACAGGAGAGTGGCACAGCCTCCTCCAGCAGTGTTCGCAGCTCCTTGGCCACCAGCGCTGCCTCTGCCTTGTCCAGGGACATGTCCATGGGGTCTGGGACCACCTCTGCTGGCACCTGTCCCTTTCGGTTCTGGGGGCCAATGGGAAAAAAGGAAGTGAGAATTCAGTGGCATAGGCTGTACCTCCACCGAGCCCAAGCTCCCAGAGACCCCTAGACCATGTAAAGCAAAGGCAGATCCAGGCCATCCCTTAGGCCATCATGGGAATAAGAAGGGGTGAGGCATTAAGTTGTAGACCATGTCCCCAGGGAAGTCCACCCTCAACCTCAGGCTGGGGATTTCAAGTAATTGAGGGTGGAACTAGGGGTGGAGCCAACAGGGAATGAAGGTCACACTTCAGTCTGTAGGTCATGCTCTCAGGGAGGCCATGTCCCCAAAGATCCCAAGCCTGGAATGAGACCATGTGAGGGATGAACATTGAAAATGGTCTCCTGTGGTACTGGGTCAGGTGTCCAACTGGGCCAATGGGGAATGAGGAGAGGCAGGGCTTCAGGAACACAGGCCATGTTTCCCCAGGATATCTGAGCCTGGAATAATGCAGAGTAACTGGTGTTGGAAATGGATGCTTTGGAGATCAAAGATCATACTGAGGGCTTATGGGGGGACCCAACCTTCTCATTCACAGAGAGTCTCAACTTTTTTCACGATCCTGAAATATTATCTACACACAGCCCCAGGGTCAGCCAAGATTGAAAGAAGATATTCTTTGCTGGGTAACCCTGGATAAATCACTTACTCTCTCAGCTTCAGTTTCTCTAATAGGGCTCATAATAGAGTTCACCTGACATATCATGAACACTAAGTAAACACCAGCTATCATTTCATTTGTTGAATGTATAGTAGATGATTTTTGTAATGAACTTCTAGAAATGCAAGCAGTTCTGGCCTCCCTCTCCTCCACTGGCTGGGAAAGGGGGTGGGGAAGGAAGGAGAAGGAAGAGAATGGGGGCTGGGACAGGGATGTAGTACCCGCAGCGCCGGGTTGGCACCATGCTCCAGCAAACATTTGGCTGCGCCCAGGCACAGGTTGGAGGCAGCGATGTGCAGGGCTGAGCCGTGGTTGAAGTCACTGCACGTGGAGTTCACCACTGGGGTGTGGGAGAGAGAGGGTTCCGGGTGAGTGGACTTGGCACCCCGCCCCCTGTAGGCCACCTTGCCACCTTAGAGTCCCCCAGCTCAAGTCCATGTCTTAACCCCGCAGACCCGAGTGCCTCCCACAGACTTGTGTTGCAGAGCCCAGCCCCTCCAGAAGGGTCCTGTCCAGCCCCGGGGATGGATGGGTCATGGATATCTGGACCCTGTCTCTCACACCTCCTACCTCCACCCTACCACCATCATCTCGGATCCCGGTCCCTTCTCCTTTCCCAGGCCAGACCTCAGTTCTGCCCCATCACTCAGCTGCCCTGCCTTCTTTACTTCATGTCTCCCCATCTCCCAGCACATCTTCTCCCGGCCCCCAGCACACAACAGAGGCACCCTCCTCCTGCTTCCAGCCCCCATCTTATCCTGGGTCCCATTCCCTTCAAGCCCCGACCCTCCCGCTCACCTCTCGGCCGGGCGCCCTTCAGCAGCACGCGCACAAGGTCGGGAACGTCGAAGTAGGCAGCGTAGTGAAGCGCATTCATGTTGGTCCAGCGGCTGCGCAGTGTTACGTCCGCACCCAGAGCCAGCAGCTGCTGTGAAAGGCGCACAGCCGCCGCAGGGTCCCCTGCACGACAGCCCAGGTCAGCTTGCGTCCCCTCCTCCAAAGCCTGGGCCCAGGGCGTGGGGAAGGCCCTAGGCCTTAGGGACTGTGCTTTGGGATCCTAGGCTGCGGGTTCACGGTGGGGGTCTGAGGGCCAGGATTCTGGGTGATTCTGAGGGTGTCATGTCTGGGCGCCTAGGTTTGGGGGCTGGTGGCTTGGGGGTTTGGACCTTACCGACTCCATGGGCTCCAGCCTTGCACGCATAGTGGAGCAGTGTCATGTCGGTCAGCCCATCACGGTCATTCACATGGCAGCCTCGACGCAGAATCTGGGACGGAATCAGGGAGGTTTACCCAAATACATGAGGGACCCCATCCTCTCCCTCCCTGGCTTCCCAAGTATCTTACCTCATTGCCGATGACATCAATCTTGTGCTGGACTTGGGGCACCCACTGGCGCACGATGGCAAACAGCTCAGGGATGGTGGTCTGCGGGTCAAAGAGAATCTCCTGGCACGCCGGGTCATTGGGGTCGAAGAACGTGAAGGCTAGGGCAGTGAGAAGTTCAAAGTCATCCCAGGCAAGCTGATCTCCTCTTTCCATCTTGAGGCAGGGGAGCTCTAGGCCTTTGCCTTTAATGCCCTCTAATGCATGGTCTCAAACCACATGGTGCATGGGCTACAGGCATTTTCTGTTGGCCAGCATAAGGTTTCAAAATCAGGAGGTTTCACAGAAAACTCTGCATGCCCCATGTGTCTTGAAAAGTTGGAAGATCTGGCAATCCCACAGAGCAGCAAACTGCACCCCTGGAAATGAGTGTGGAGGGAGTGCAGTACCTCTAGTCTGCATGCCCCTGGGAGGAGGGAGGCTGCCACTGCTCTAGCCCACCGTTGCCCTGGCCGAGTATGGGCACAGTTTGGTTAAATCTCAAGTAAAAACAAAAAGCCAGAAAAGCTGGCTTTTCAGAAAAATCTCCCCAATTTTTCAAATACTGTGTAGAACACATAAAACGTACCCATGGGCAGGATCCAACCTGTGGCCAGCCAGGGTGGTGCCCAGAGGAACTTCCATCTCCCCCTATTAGGCCGTGATGTGTGTTGCTTTCTGTGGTATTGTCAACACCCAGCACAGGGCCTGGCGCAGGGCAGGAACTCAGTGCATACTGAGTGAGGAAATGAATTACCAGACGATACATAGCTCTGGATGTGAATCCGGATGATACACACCCACAGAGACAGCATCTCCAGGAATCAGCCTTTGTGTTCCTCTTTAAACCACAGTCCCGGCACACACAGCCCCCCTTGGCTCAGACCCTGCCCTGGCTCCCACCACACTCAAAGCACCGACCACTATTCTCTCCACAGCCCACGGGCCCTGCACAAACCGGAGGCCAGTGTGTTCTCTGCCCTCTCGCCCTCACTCATTCCACCCAGCCACACTGGCTCCTTCTGTCCTTCCAACACGCCAGGCAAATTCCTCTCAGGCACTTTGCACTCGGCATTTTCCTTGCCCGGGACAGTCTTCCCTCAAGCCTTCTCAAGGTGTTGCAGGTTTTACTCAGATGTCACTTCTTCAGGGAGGCCTCCCCAGACCACTCTGTGTACATCAGCACCTCTGCCCTTCTCCATCTCCTGACCTTTTTTATTGCTGTAATCACGGCACCTACCACTGCTTAACATTAACTTGTTTACTCCTTTTTCCTTCCCTTTCTCCTTCCCTCTTTTCCTGTCTCACTTGTCTCCCTCGCTAGGATGTAAGCACTGTGTTTCTGTGCTGCCTTGTTCACTCCCTTCTCCCCAAGGCCTGGCACAGCAGCTGGCATGCAGTAGGTGATCAATCAATCTCTGCGGAATTAATTGTACAACTTTGATACACAAATAGACAAGTTCTTCTCAGAGTCCATCATAGCCCCCTCTCTGTCCTAGACCACATTTCCAGATTCCTTCATGTTCGGTGGTCAAACCCTCCTCGTTCTAGAAGCAAGATTCTGAGGGAGGTGAGGGTCAGGCAGGGAGCAGCCTACACTCTCTGACTTCCACCAGGGTACAGGCCCCAGCCACATCTAGACACATTTCCAAAGGAGATTTTCCAGTTCCCTGGGGTGGATTCATCACCTGGGACACCCAGATAATGTTCTTATTTTTCTATCAGACTGAAGTCAACTTGTAGCCTCTCTGACCCACCTCTAGTGGGTGACATGAGCACAGATGCCATCCCTTCTACCCTATCCTAGTGATGCCCACTCTTTGAACATGGTGCCTAGTTTTTGAACTTACAGCTGCTGGGGATTCCCAGACAACATCTTCTAAAAGCCTCCTCCACCCTCTCTACCCAGCAGCCAGAGGGAGCTTTTAAAAATATAAATCAGATCTGCCACTCCTCTGCTTTTAAATACCTCCCTACCAACTGCTCTCTCCTCATCACACTTATCCAAAATCCTCACAGTGGCCGCTAAGGCCCCCCCAGATCTAGTCATTGCCAAACCCTCACCTCGACTCCCATCACTCCCTTACTACAGCTCCAAGATTGCCTTTCGTTCCTGGCCCAGGGCTTTTGCACTTGCAAAAGATAGCCCGGAACTATCTTTCTCCAGCTCTCCTATGGCTGATTCCTTCTCATCCTCTGGGTCTCAGCCTAAATGCTACCTTGTCAGAAAGACCCACTCTGACCACTCCGTCTCAAGGTGCTGCCCCCTGCCCCCCCCCTTTATATGTCCAACTTTATTTCTTTCATAGCACTCACTCCATCTGAATGTATCTGATTGATCTATTATTTGTTCCCTTCTGAGAGCAGGGATGATGCCTGGGTCACTCACCATTAATAGAAGATGACAGAGATCACCCAACATAAATGTTATCACAGACTAGTAGCAATGGATAAATATGCTTGGTGAATGATTAGACACTTTCAGTTTCTCCAAGAAAATACCCTCTCAGCTCCACACCTTCCTACCTTGGAGCCTTTACTCCTGCAGTTATCTCTCTGGGTACTCCCTTCCCTTGCCCCTTTCCCTTGTTAAACCCCAACTCATCCTTGGGTCTCCCTCAAATGTTACCCCTCATAGATACCATGTCTTAAAAAGCTCTTGCAGCATCCCATTCTTGGCAAACACAATTCTCATCATGTCTTGTAATTATATATTTATATTACATTATACTTATCTGTGTGGTTGCCATTGGGGCCTGTAAATTCTCTCAGGGCAACAACTGGGTCTGTCTGGCTCCATGCTTTGCCCCAGCTCCTAGCATAGAGCCAGGTCCACCACAGGCTTTCAGTAAATGTTTGCTGAATGACTAAATGATTGAATGATGTGTCATGAATCAAAGATTAGGATTATTCCAGTTTCATTCTCCAACGGGTGAATGAATAAATTAACCAAAGGGGGATGCAATGGCCACCACTCACCCAGACCACTTTCAAATCACCCAGAATCTCCCCACCATCACCACCAGCAGAGCTCAGCCCAACCTCTCTGGCCACCCATGGCTCCAAACAAAATTGCAGGGTGGGGAGGATGGTTACCGTAGTCCTTGGGGAGGGGGGCAGGTGCCGAGGGGTGCACAACAGGCTTCTGCCGGCGCTCCTGGGTGGGGCTGGGGGCCTCAGGGACCAGCTCATCCTCTTCCTCCTCTTCTTCTTCCTCCCCGCGTAGTGGGGGGGCCATGGGAGCGGGATCTGTCTTAGTCATGGTCTTCAGTGGCCCTCCGGGGGGCGGGTGCAGATTTGGGGGCGGCTTTCAGGCCAATCCTGGAGACAGAGGCCAGTTACAGAGAGCCCCCAACAGGGTCTAGGGTCTGAGCCCCCAGAAGCTCCAAGGCCCCCAGTGACTCCCACACCCCCAGCTCTGGATTTTGAGCAATCATAGCGACGACCATCAGCCGTCAGAGGACCCTGGTATGCGGGCCCAGCGCCTACCACTTCCCCCCTCTTCCCCAGGTTCAGCCCCCCATTCTTCTCCTCCCGCGTCAGGCCCCTCAGTCTAGGCCGCCCCCTCCCCGGGTTTGTTTATCTCGGGATGCAGGATGCTTCGCCCCTCCCCTTCTCCGCGGGCCTCCCCTCTACCCATCTTACCTCGGACTGATGGGGCTGGGGACCAAAGCTGAGACTGGGGAGACTGGAGTAATGGGGTGTCAGTGTTGGGGGAAGTGATGGGGGAGGAGAGGGAGACAGAAGGGGACGAGGCCCAGACGCCGACAGGGGATGGGGGTGGAGAAGGAGGGGCGCTGATGCGCATGCGCAGTGATACCCCTAACCAGGCGCGGGGGCGGAGATACTGGGAGGCTCCAGGCTTTGATGAAAGGGCTTGAGGCAGCGTCGTCGTGAAGAGGATAGACACGGAGGATGGAGAGAGAAAAGAAGAGATGGCCACGAAAAAGGATGTGAGACATCAAAACAGAAAGAGATGAAGCAGAGACAAGGGCAAGAAGGAGAGGGATGGGAAAGCGGGCACAGTTTTTTGTCCGTCCCCGGGACAGAGCCTTCCTTCCCGCAGGCCCACAAACCAGGCCAGTTAGGACAGGGGTCTCAGTGTGGTGGTGGTTATGAGTGTTTTCCTCTCTCTGAGATCTCAGACCTGACCCTTCTCCATGGTCACCGCATATAAGGGGTGTCTCAGAGGGATGATTTTGTAGACTCCTTTCATCATCGAGGGTCATTAGTTACCGTGGTTATCATCACTGAGTGCTCAGAGAGCACTTACCAGGTTTAGAGAGGTTAAGCTACTTGCCCAAGGGCACACAGCAAGCAGATGCTGGAGCTAAGAAACCCGACAGCCTGCTGGAAACCAGACGGCCTGGCTGGAGAGTCTGGGCTCTTCATCACCATGCTACATATGGCTGTAGCAGTGTGTAGGGGCCAGATCTGCCAATGAACCCCTCCAACCCTCTCGGAACCTGTATCTCCCCTTGGGGGAAGACCTCCTGGAGCCAGCTCAGAGTCGAAGCCTTCCTGGCTCCATCACCCTGGTTTGGCTGTCACTCTTGCCTGGTAACCAGAGCTGGCACTGCCTACCACTCCAGCCCAAAGAGGACTGGGCTACTTTGCCTCCCGCCCTTCATCCTTCTAATGGGCAGGGCTAGTTTCATCCCTCGCCCCCCACCCCGGCCCTCATCCTGGTCTGTTCTTCATCCTCTCCCACCTGGACTGTGTTCTCCCTGCTCCTCCCTTACCCCACAACTTGCTCCCTGTAATGCAGCCACAGGGACCTAACATATCATATCAGGGCCCTCCTCCATTCAGAGACATCTGCTTGCTGCACCTCGCTCTAGATAAAAGCTAGTGTTCTCAACCACAGCTCACAAGGCCCTAGGTGGACTTTCCACTATCATCTCTCCACCCTCTCCTCCTCTCACTCTCCCCCACATTCACTGCCCACCACGCTGACTTCCTTGCTCCTTCTCAGCCCAGGACCTTTGCACTGGCCGTTCCTTCTGCCCAGAATGCTCCTCCCCCAGATGCTTGGTTTCCTCTCTCCCCTAGTTTAGGATTTTACTTCTTGGCGCCTTTTCAGTGAGACCTTCTCCGCTCTATCTAAAATTGCATCCCCCACACATACTCCCTTCCCTGCTTCAGTTTTTACCATAGCAACACTGCCCTCCTCCAGCTGACACCCTAGATGTTGGGCACTTGCAGGGGGTGTGCTGCTCCCTGGAACATCCAGTCCGTATGCCTTCCAGGCCAGGTCCTTCTCATCCAGGTCTCTGCTGGAACATTGTCTCCTTAGAGTCCTCTTCTCCACCCACCTGCCAGTGCCACCCCCACTCCATTACATTTTTGTTTAGTCTTTACGGCGCTTATTACAATCTGAAATTATCTTGTTTATTAGTTGACTGGTTTATATTCTACTCAAGCAGAATAGAAACACCATGAGGGCAGGACTTTGTCAGCTGTGTTCACTGCTGTACACCCAGCTCAGCGCCAGACTTCGCAAAGGGTATGAGAACCAGGTAGAATTCTCCCCAAATAAACAACTCTTGTTCTGCTCTGCAAAGGTTCAAACTAGGAATGGCAGGAACCTGGCACCAAGGGGAACAGGGACTGATGAGGCTTGGGCCTTGGTCAGCCCCAAGGTTCAAGGGGTCCCTTAGGAGGGGGTACTTGGAACCAGACCCTTGAGGGAGCTGCAATGGCCCAGGCATGGGTGGTGGGGCTAGGCAGACTCATGTATGATGAGTGGCTCTTCCTCTGTCTTCTGTCATCTGTCCCGCAACATTATCCGTCCTGGTCCTTATGCATTGGGGGTCTGAGTGTCCAGCAGCTCGGGCTTGGCATCCAGTGTGAGAAGTGCAGGACTTTGGGCAAGGACCACACCTATGTCAGACCCTCCACAGATAATGGGACTCCTCACATCCAGGGAGCTGGGCATTCCCAGACAAAGAAGTGATAGAGATGGAGAACACAGGGGAATGAGGGGAGGGAAGAAGAGAGGGAAGGAAGGAAAAGGGGGGAAGAAATGGTGAGGAACATGGAGGGTGATGTGGGAGGGGGGCGTCAAGGAACACAGAGAGATGTGGGCAGAGATTTGTGGGGAGACAGGGAAACAAATGTGAGGCCAGAGAGACATTCATGGGGGAATAAAGAGGTATGGAGAAACAGGGAAATGGGGGGGTGTGTCGAGAGACAGATATGGGGATAGGCAAACACAGGAGAAGACAGAGAGAGACATAGATGGGGGACACAGAAAGATGCAGATGAAGAGAGACATGGGGAAATGGAGAGACAGGAGGGAAGAGAGATGGGGCATCAGAAACATAAAGATGAATGTGGGAGGAGAGAGGAGGAGATTGAAACACATGGATTGAATGGGGGCAGGGGAGGCAGAGAGACACTGTCGGCCCAGGGACCATGGCAGGCTGAAGAATCCCAGACCTGAGTCTGAGGTCTGTCCCTACACTCTTTATGTCCCTCTTGTGCCCCAGCATGGTTAGGCCACAGTCTCAAACACAAAGCCTCCAGGGGCAGCCACACTGCAGTTCTAGCTGACTGTTCCTAGCTGACTGCTGCTAAATCTGCTGAGCCTTCAGGAAAGACCAAAAATTATTTTAAAGCACCACTGAGGCCAGAAAAAATCATATCTGTTAGCTGTGTACAACCTACTGGCCAGCAGGCAGAGACACCTTAGCCACAGAGCTACTTTGGGGGCTCCTTTTTGAAACCCCTTCCTATCTCTTGTCCAGGCAGGGCTGAGAGCCCTGGGACCTCAAAGTTGGCCCTAGGGTTTGAAGCAGGGAAAAGGCCTGGCCAAACTTTTAAAGACACAATGCCCTCCTCCAATATTCAGAAGTAAACTATAGGAGCAAAAGCGCCTTTAGATAGGGCTCGGGAGACTCTACTAGATGGGCTGCAAACTCACGCTCCACAGGGTCCAGGCAGGAGCTCTCTAACCATTTGAATCGAGGTTCTGCAACTTACTGGCTGCCTGACTTTGGGCGAGATTTGTGCCTGACTTTTCATCTGAAAAATGGGGACAACCGCAGTACCAAGGTCACAGTGAGTTTTCAATAAATTATTAACTCTGTCTGGCAGAGAGTAAAGGCCCCTTAAATATTATTAATATATGGAACAGCCATTACCCTGCTCTGACCAATAGTGGGTAGGCATTGCCAAACTGACTTTTTTTTCAAGAAAAGCCAGAAATGTGGAAACATGAATGAAATGTTCTGACTTTTAAATGAAAATACATATGCCACGGGGGCCAGGTGGCCACATTCACCAGGCAGAGCAGGTCCTGGTGCGCCCAGCCGGCAGGCTCTCCTTGCACAGCTGCTGCGCCAGCTGTTCTAGAGCCCGCAGCTGCACCTGGTGCTGCTCCTGGCGCCGCTGCAGCCTCCGCACACGACGTTGCAGCGCTCCCAGGATAGTGCCCAGCCCGGCCAGAGGGTGCTGGGCCCGAACTCCAGGCCGTGGCCTGGCAGGAGCAGGAGGAAGGATCAGGGGGGCCAGGAACACGGTGGCCGCGGCCTCGGGGCCTCTGGGTGCTGGCCCTAGTACCACAAGGTGCACAGGGCCAGGGGCCGAGAGAGCTGGGCCAGGGGTCGGGGGCGTGACGTCTGGTGGGGAGGGAGACACGACTGGCTTCTCGGTGCTTCGGGTACTCTGCTGCTTCTGGAAGACAAAGCATGGGGTGGGGGGCATCAGGGCCAGACTCCAAGGGGTACTGCCATCAGGTAAGGCCAGACCTCAAAGAGGGACTTCCCTCAGGAGAGAAGGGCATAGGGTCAGACTGGAGGAGGGGCCTCCCTCAGGAGAGGAGGGCTGGGGATCAGACTCCATGGATTATTTCCAGGTGGGGAAGACTGGGGGTCATACGCCAGTGGTGGGACCTCCCTTTGCTCACCTCAGTAGGCGGCGCTGGGGAGAAAATGGAGGGCACTGCATCAGGCCGCAGGTAGCGCACACCCCAGCGCCACTGGAAGCAGGAAGGTGTGAAGTGCTCACTGCACAGGTGCTGGTGGCAGCTGGGCACCCAGTCCTCATGGCCCATGTGCCGCAGCCAGGCCCGCAGCCGGGGGCCATCCTTCAGTGGGAACCTGCCAGGGGCAGTGGGGTTACAGGGTCAGTGGGGTTATGGGGTCAGCAATATCAGGTCCGGTCACACCCCTCCCTGAGGACACATGCATCGGGAGGTCCCTGGGCTCCAGACCTCTGTCTCCCCAGGCTAGAAGCTGTCCCTGCCTCCTACCCAGGCCCTATCACCAACCCACATCCCATTCTTCCACCTTTTAAACACCCAGCATCAGCCTACCTCTCCTACCTCTGTTGCCCCTTCCATTCAGCCTCCATCCTCTCCTGCCTGGGCTTTTGCAACAGCCTCCTTCCTGATCGCCCTTACCCACAGCCACTCTGCCCTCCCCCAACAATCTGCTCCTCTACATTGAAGCTGAGAGAGTAGTTTATGAAACTGGACAAATCTACAAAGTGGGAGATTCTACATTCATGGGGGTAGGGTGGGGTTATAGGTTAAAAGAGATTTAAGAAACATCCAGTTGCAGGTTATAGACCTCGTCTGCAACAAATCATTCCATAAAATGACATTTTAAAACAGTTGGGGAAGATTGAGCATGAATTGGGCACTGGATAGTTGTAAGAAATTAATTTTGCTAGGTATGATAATTGTCCTGGTTTATGTTTTTAAAATAGTCATCTGTTGGAAAAACATTCTGAAATATTTATGGGCAAAAGAACTAATATCTGGAATTTATTTTAAAATACTGCATTAAAGGGGCGCCTGGGTGGCTCAGTCAGTTGGGCGGCCAACTACAGCTCAGGTCATGATCTCACGGTCTGTGAGTTCGAACCCCACATCGGGCTCTGTGCTGACAGCTCAGAGCCTGGAGCCTGCTTCCAATTCTGCGTCTCCCTCTCTCTCTGCCCCTTCCCTGCTTGCTCTCTGTCTCTCTCTCTCAAAAATAATAAACATTAGGGGCGCCTGGGTGGCGCGGTGGTTGCTGTATCAAACTGGCATGGTCCGATCTCGGTCTGTGGGTTCGGAAGGCCCGCGTCGAAACAGGCTGATGAAGCAAGGAGCCTGGAGCTGTTTCTGATTCTGTGTCTCCCTCTCTCCCTCCCCGTTCATTGCTCATCTCTCTCTCTATTACCCCAAAAAAATAAATAAACGTTGAAAAAAAAATAAAATAATAAACATTAAAAATAAATAAATATATAAATAAATAAATAAATAAATAAATAAATAAATAAATAAAATACTGCATTAAAGGGGTGCCTGGGTGGCTTAGTCGGTTGAGCGTCCCACTCCTAGTTTTGGCTCAGGTCATGCTCTCACAGCTTCATGGGTTCGAGTCAGATACCTGCGTTGGTAACACAAATTTTCTTTGGATTCTCCCTCTCTCTCTGACCCTCTCCCACTCATGCTGTCTCTCAAAATAAATAAATAAGCTTTAAAAATAAATAAATAAATACTGCATTAAAGGTGTAAGTAGGTGGAGGGTAGATGAAAAAGATTGGCAAAATGTTGACAACTGGTGAATCTGAGTGATAGATATATGTGAATCCATTTATATAACTCTACTTTTTGGTGTATGCTTGAAAACACCTGATAAAGGTGGGTTTTTTTTAATATTTATTTTTGAGAGAGAGAGTGCAAGTGGAGGAGGTGCACAGAGAGAGGGGACAGAGGATCAGAAGCGGGCTCTGCACTGACAGCAGAGAGCCTGATGCAGGGCTCGAACTCACAAACCATAAGAGCATGGCCTGAGCTGAAGTTGGACGCTTAACTGACTGAGCCACCCAGGCACCCCTGTTAAAAGGTTTTTAAACAACTCAACAACAACAAAAATAACCCCATTAAAAATGGGCAAAAGACTTGGGGCACCTGGGTGGCTCAGCTGGTTAAGTGTCTGACTCTGGATTTTGGCTTAGGTCATTATATCCTGGTTTGTGGGACAGAGCCCCAAGTCAGGCTCTGTGCTGACAGTGTGGAGCCTCCTTGGGATTCTCTCTCTCCCTCTCTCTGCCCCTCTCTCTCTCAGAATAAACAAACTTAAAAAAAAAGTTTTAAATTAAAAAAAAAACAAACAGTGGTGCCTGGGTAGCTCAGTCAGTTATTTGTCTGAGTCTTAATTTTGGCTCAGGTCATGATCTCACTGTTTGTGGGTTTGAGCCCTGCATCAGGCTGTGCTGACAGCCTGCTTCAGATTCTGTGTCTCCCTCTCTCTCTCAAAAATAAACATTAAAAAATTTTTTAAATGGTTGATATGGTAGATTTTATATTACATGTATTTTACAATTAAAGGTAAAAATTAAAAATTAAAGTTTAAAAAAATGAATGAAATAAAAGCTTTCCCTGTGGGAGTGGGTGGGGATTATCTGAGACTCCAGACTGTCCACAATGGAGATCTCATTTTCCAGCTTCATTTGCAGCCAGGGGCGGCCACATAATTGAGTTCTGGACCATTTGTCCTGTGGCAGCTGTCAGAAACTGGGAGACTTTAAAGGTTTATTTTAAGCCGTTAAATTTTGAGATAGTTTGTTATGTAGCATTAGATAACTAGTATGGTCAGTCATCCACATTCTACCTGCACAGTATCTTCTATATCTGCCACATGATTTACTTAATATTTTTCTTAAAACTGACCAACTTTAAGTATTTAACAAAGATACCTCAAAGAGAAACTTTACACCACAATTTAAGATGGAAAAACCAGTATTGGGGCACCTGGGAGACTCAACTGATTGATCTCTCAGGTCATGATCCCAGAGTTGTGGAATGGAGCCCTGTGTTGGGTTCTGTGCTGAGTGTGGAGCCTGCTTGATTCTCTCTTTCCCTCTGCCACTATCCCTGGCGCTCTCTCTCTCTCTCTCTCTCTCTCTCTCAAATTAAAAAAAAAAAAAAAAGAAGTCATACAGTTCTGTTAAAAAAAAAAAAAAGAAGTAAAGAAAACCATATCAATTCCATGAACAGGAGTTGACCAAAAAAAACAGCTAGATACCTTCATCTGCTGAGGGCTTTGAGACCTGCTCTTTGTTAAAAGGGCAGAGTAAGGGTGTTAGAGAGTGCGGGACAACACCATCCCTAGGAGACAAGGTAACAAACTCGGGCACAAAAGGAACACTATGGAACCCTAAAACAGAACGTGGAGGCACTCTATGAACTGACATGCTATTGTCAGGCATACACGTTATCTGAAAAAAGCAAAGTTCCAAACAGAGCAGATCAGCTTTTAGTAATTGTGGCAGGCTCAGTAATGGCCTCCAAAAGATATCCATGTTCTAATCCCTGGAACCTGTGAATACTACGTTGCATGACAAAAGCTGTGATTAAGTTAATGGCCCTGAGATGGGAAGTCATCCTGGATCTTTCATTTGGGCCCTAAATGCAATTACAGGCATCCTTGTAAGAGGGAGGCTGAGAAGATGTTACCTCAGATGAAAGTGGAGAAGGCGATGTGAGCACAAAGGCAGAGATTGGAATGATGTGGTCACCAGAAACTAACTGGAAGAGGCAAGAAATGGATTCTCTTACAGCCTCACAGGGAGTGCAACCCTGCCAAGGCCTTGATTCTGGCCCAGTAAAACCGACTTGCACTTCTGGTCTCCAGAATTGTGAGAGAATAATTTCTGCTGTATTAAGCCATCAAGTTTGTTTCAGTATCCACAGGAAATTAATACAGTAATAAAGGGTGAAATTAGAACATATATTCAGATTTGCTTGTATATGCATAAAGAAACTGGGAAGGCAGGGGCGCCTGGGTGGCTCAGTCAGTTAAGTGCCTGACTCTTGATTTGGGCTCAGGTCATACTTTCAGTGCTCATTGGATCGAGCCCTGTGTTGGGCTCTGTGCTGCTAATGTGAAGCCTGCTTGGGATTCTCTTTCTCCCTCTCTCTCTGCCCCTCCACCACTCACGTATAAGTGCTGTCTCTCAAAATAAAGAAATAAACATTATTTCAAAATTAAGAAAGAAAGAAAAAGAAACTAGGAAGGACACATAAAAAAGGAGTTGGGTAGGGGGCGCCTGGGTGGCGCAGTCGGTTAAGCGTCCGACTTCAACCAGGTCACGATCTCACGGTCTGTGAGTTCGAGCCCCGCGTCGGGCTCTGGGCTGATGGCTCAGAGCCTGGAGCCTGTTTCCGATTCTGTGTCTCCCTCTCTCTCTGCCCCTCCCCCGTTCATGCTCTGTCTCTCTCTGTCCCAAAAATAAATAAACGTTGAAAAAAAAAATTAAAAAAAAAAAAAAAAAAAAAAAAAAAAAAAAAAAAGGAGTTGGGTAGGATGGACAGAGATGGGGGTGGGAGCAAGACTTCTCAGCCAAAAGGCAGACAGACAGGGCAAGGGGGGAGGGCGGGGGTGGGGGCACAGCTAGTGCAAGAGGACAGAGGGGCTGACTCAGAAGAGCTGTGGCACCCAAAGAGCAGAACCCCAGGGCACACAGCCAGGAACTCTGGCTGCTGCAGTCCCTTTCGTCTCTGTTTGGGATCCAAATCCTCTCATCAACCCCATTCTGCCTGGACACACACAAGAAATCTCTTGCAGCAGCCCCCTTCTTGGCAAACCCTGCCCCCTTCTTGGCAAACACTGACAAGTGACTACTCCACTTGCCCTTTTCTTCTTCCTTACTAGCGAAATTCCAACTTTAGTTGAGGTCATAAAGTGCCATGCTAAAAGACTATGTTTCCCAAGTTCCTTTGTGTAGGTGGGGCCATGTAACTAGGTTCTGGCTAATGAATACTTTTGTGTTGTGTAAGAAAATCTGGAATGGTACCTGAAAGGCGAGGGGGTTCTCACATGGATCAGAGCAGCTCAAGGGGCAAAGGAGGAAAGTACAAAATCTCTTCCTAACTTGGTCTTTTTCTTATTCTTCTTTATTCCTCTGAATGGCAACATTTATAATGGACTCTGTAAAAATCTACCGTAAGTGGACAGTGTCCTCCTTTTCTATAGAACAGTTTAGTCTTGTTAGTCATCCTTCTAGATCATGGAGTGGCATATGCTGTTAGAAGTTCTTTTCAAAAGAAAAAAAAAGAAGTTCTTTTCTTCCTTACTAACAATCAATCCTAATGGTCTTCAGGGTG